CTCGAAGTGAATCTTCAAAGCTCAAAAAAATTCTACCAGACCTCTGTCAGACAAATAAAATGAATGTATAAAGGTTACATGTTAGATTCCTAAGTATTGAGTCTTGTAACTACATTGAAAAATCAAACACAAGCTACTTTGGACAAAAATACCAGTGTGCAAACCGAAAACCAGAATTATGACTAACATGCGGCTACTGATAAACTGGGAAGAGACTTAGAGAATCAATCCAGAGAGAGAAATCAAAACTGGATTTATTTGTCAACAAACTTTATTGTCTTAAAGAAGGAATAAGCAGAGTGCCAAGTGAGAAACTGCTGGAAATGACCTATACACAGAAGAAAAATATCCACCATGGGAACTACTACAAGAGGCCCCAAGAATTAAAAGTAACCTGGTACCCATGGGAATTGCAGGCTACATTCTTGTGAATTTATTCTGAGAATCACCAGATTGCTTTAGAGAACTTGTTTTCTTCCCTTCTTGAATACACATGCAACTAAATTTGTGTTTGCATCTCTAGGAGAAAAAAAATAACAGGACTTGCAGAATTTGCAGAGCACCAGCAGTTCTTTGAAGATGATGGCAGGTGGCAAATATTTAGCATTTTTGAGGATTAGGAGTTGCAATATGGATTTTTTATTTTCTCTCTGGATTTACAAAAATCTTGAGCAATGTCCTGCCAACAGAGACAACACTTCCCAAGACAAGAGGAAAAGGCACTCATGGCAGGAAAAGAAATGCCGTAAGTTTTTGTTACTGCTTTCTGGGTTTTTTAAAATGTCTTATTCTGACTCTAGCCTACAAGGAGAAAGAGAAAGCCTATCGTAAAGTGTGCAGGAAAAGAAAAGACTCAAAGAAGTCCAGTCTTTAAAGTCTGGAAGTATATAGAGATCATCACAGAGATAATTTCACACTTTACATTTAGTCACGAAGATGCCTTGGTTGTGGTATACAGAGAAAAGAAAACTCCTTTTCCCCTCAGGTATATCTTACTGCTTTGGAAACACATACCGTTCACCCCACTCTGACCTGGATCACCAATTTGAATCAATTTGCAAATAATTATACCTAGTCCAGGCAAGGCAAACTCAAGCTCAGTGTCTTGGTAGCAGCTTGCAAACAGTTTCCCTTACTGCCTCTAAAAGTAAGACTAAATTCCCAGATAGGAAGGTTGAGCCTTGCTCGCCTTAATACAGCCCACTGGCATGGGAAGGGAGGAGTACGGCACCTGGGGCGTGGGTGTGACCGTGCAGACTGCATGCCTCTGCAACGACCACAAAGAGACAAGGGCATCAAATGCGGCCCAAATGCAACGTCCTTATTGTCGCTACAAAGCTTCTTTACATTGGCAACCAGAGGCTTAGCCTATTCATGAGGATCCCGTGGTGCCCTGACACCCAGCAAAGCTGTCGCTCAGCTATGAAACCTCACACACTACCCCTCCTCCCCCGTTCTTCCATCCCCTCCTGTGGAAATTTAAGGCTACTTCAGCCGCAGTTGTTTGGGTTCTTTTCCCCCTCAGAGGGAAAATCACTACAGAATGACAGAATATTCTGAGTTGGAAGGAACACAAAAGGATCATCCATTCCGGCCGTTAAGTGAATGGCCCACACAGGGATAAATCCACAATTCTGGCATTATTAGCACCATGCTCTAACCAACTGAGCTTATCTCAGAGAACTGAAAGAGAATTCCACACGAAGAGTCCCAAAGAAAGGCAGGCTGCACACCCTTCTCCCCAGCCATCCCTCATCCACTGGCCAGGCACAAAAGGGCACCTAAGCTATGCCGGGAAAGGGCTACTTGCAAAAGTAAGCCTGCCTGCTCTACAGGAAGACTGAGGGTCAGCTGACGTCCCCCTACCCTAAAGAAACACGGCAGGTGGCTGTCAAAGCAGACAGGTCCATCATACAGCTCTCGCCAGGACTTACTGCGTTTAATCACGACCAGCAGCTGACAGGGAGGACAGCAGGGACGTAATCTTCAGACACCCAGGAGCTCATAGGAACTTGGAGCCCGCAAGCCTCTAATATTTTTTTTCCTCTTTTTTTTCAGTTCTGAAGGCATGTGACCGGCCCTCACATACCAGAGCTGACCCCTCCCAAAGCCAGCAATTTCCTAAGAGCAGAGAAGGATGTTACCCTCCCGCTTATTCATTACGAGGCCAGGTTTCCTTGTTCTTATGCATCAAAACCTCACTCCCTGTGTAAGGTACGCTCTGGATCCCTCCGGACAGGTGCAAAAGGGGCTACGGTGCTCAGCTACCTGCTATCAGGAGGGCATGGCCACGGGAGCCCCGGCTATTCCTTTCCCAACTGGCATACGGATTTCAATATTCAGGTGTAAAACCACCAGCTCTTTGCTCTCAAGTCGGCCGTCCCCTTCTGCTCTGGGCCAGAAAGAACCGCTAGTGTTTCACACTGTTCCCCCATTAACTGGTGCTGGTCCTCGGAAGCATGCTCCCTCTCCAGTCACTTTTTATATCACCGAAATACCACGGCACAAGGCACTCCTGAGATTTTAGTTTCGGTTTTTGCTCTCTCGGATTGGCAGTACCGTTTCCGGAATGGGGGGAGAGAGCGGGAGGTCTCATGCTCCTTGCTGTCCCGCACTGTCACACGACCCTGCTCTATTCCCAAATTCCCCGCACCCGAAATCCCCCCGCTTCCCTTTGCACTTGCCAGTATCCACATGCCGAGCCCCCAGAGCAGCCCCCACCCCTCTGGGAGGGGCTCCTCCCGCCGCTCTCCGGCAGGCGGGGGGCGGCAGGAGCGGGGAGCCCCGGCGGGCCAGGCGGCACGGCGCGGGGCCGGCACGGCGGGGAGCAGCGCTCGCCTCCCTCCACCCTCCTCCGGGAGGGCTGCACCACTGCGGAGGGTGCTCCCGCTGCTCTGCAGCGCCAGGCAGCCACTACGCGTGAGGAACTGCAGCCCCAAGCACAACTGGAGGCTCACGGCACCGTAGGAAACCAGAGCTTCACCAGCAGGCACAAAGGTGCCATACACGTGTCGCACAGGCAGACTCAGGTAAACCTAAGTCTCGAATTGCTTCAGGCAATACAACGGCCCGTTCAAATTGCCCTGAGCCGCCAGGGCTCAGAAGGCTATTTCTGGTTCACCTGAGCATCACCAAGACACACCGCCCTGAACCCTCTGCAATAAAGCTCCCGCCGCCCCCAGTAGGCACGCACTGCTTCTCACCCACGCGTTCTTAACACTGTGATTCCCAACTGGCTCCAACAAAGTATTCACGACCCGTCAGTCGCCTGTCAGTCACCACACAAACATACACACCTGGTGCAATACGACATGATACTGGAATACCAGAGGAAGAATGGTGGTGTTGGCTATAAAATTATTGTTGGGAGGATCACTCTGTTGGGCATACTCATGGCTAGCCATCTTGCTGTGGTGACATTCTCTACTGGCACCTACCTTAGGTGAGCCATTGAGGCTTGTCTCTAACAAACCAGGAACACTTTTTTTTTTCCTTTTCTTTATCTTTTTAATTGAGAAAAAAATATTTAAACATCTACTGCTGGTTTATCAGTGTGGCTGCAAATCTAAACTAAAATTAATCCCAAGTGAACTCCACATCAGGCAGGCACTTGATGTGACTCATCTAAGCACACCTTCTCTTTGTGATAATTTTTGTCTTGATGAGCCAATGTGGGCCTTACTTGATGGTATCTTTTAGATACTGGATGGTTCAACTCCAGGGTAACAGAATCAGGATCTGAATGTGCTGCTTGTTCTCCCTTGTCCAGTTTTATGTCAGTCTTTGGTTTTGCTGTAAGTAAGGAGCTGCAAGTCTCAGGATTGAGAGGCTCCATACAGGTTATTGCATATTAGCAATCACTTATTGCCTATTGGCAGACACCATGCATACACATCTTTTTTACTGTATGATTGAGGGGAAAATATTTTAAATTCTAAGGTCCTGCTGCCTGTTTTAAAACCAAGCTGCACCTTAATCCATAAAGTTAGTAAAACTACTTCTGCTCAAAGGACTTCTTTCATTTTAGCACAAAAGAAATAAAACAGGTAAAAGATCTCCCACCCTTACTCCCAGGAAAGCTCAAACTACACTAGTCCCATCTAAGGTAATAGTCCTAGGAGTCTTAGATAAAATCCTGTCCCTGGAGGATGAAGACCAGAGGCATCTTTGTCACTCACAAGGTCCTTCACCACTTTGCAGGTGAGTTGCACCCTCACCACTCTGTTTTTAACTCAACCTCCCACTTTGTCTGTGGCTGCGTTTCATTATCCCCACTCTCTCTGACAATACATTATAGGAAAAGTTTGCACATAGAGTGATTCTCTACAATTGTACAGTATTTTCTGACCACTGAGCCTAGTTTTTGCTTCTCACATGACTCTTTAATAGGTTTTCTCACATCCCCTTTTACCTAAACAGAAATTATTTACGTTTTTGCAAAGCTCCTTCCTCTTTCAGTAAGTAAGTGCACAGATGAAAGAAGCGGCTAACCTGTGAATGTGGTGGGAGCAAAATCTCATCCCAGCAGAAGTGAGGTTCTAAACTCCCACTGGCCTCAAGAGAGGAAACGCTATGCTGAGAAACACATCTTTAACATCCAGATCACAAACTGCATTTGTGATCACAACTACCTTGTGTACACCAAGTGTTATGGTTCCCAAAGCTGCTGCCAATAAATACAGGTAGGAACTAGAGCTGAGCAAGGTTAATTTGTAACCAATAACTAACTCCTCCAGAGACAGGTCCCAGAAAAGTGAGAATACCAGACAGACTTTTATCAACATATCAGCATTGCCTAATAAACCTTCATAATGTAAATTTGCATCCTTCATATGAATGGCAGGTTTGGATGGCTCATTTCTCTCCTGCAGTCACCCTGGAAATTACTCTCTGTAGAAAATCTGAAGTGTTAAAAGACACAAAACTACACTCTGTGACAATATACTACAGAGATTGGGGAAAAATCAGGAGGGCACAGAAAGCTCACCGACTACTTTTACCTTTCCAGAGAAGGGACTTCTGTGACATCTCCTTTGAAGAGTGTTTCACTTGCATTCCTTAAGCCATTGGCGATGCCTTCACCACATCCCTTCACTTCCCTGTCAGGAACATCTGTCAAGGCTGATGTCCTATCTAAAAACTGTCCACCCTCCTTCATGCGCTGCTGGATCATGGGAGTGAGTGGCATCTCAAAGCTGAAGTAGCTATCGGGCTCCGAGTACAATGTCTCCAGCGATTCTGCACTGTAGTACAAAGATGCATTGTCTAGGATGTTTTCAAACTGTGAGCTGTACAGATCAGTGGAGACGTCAGAGTGCTTCTGCCCAAGGAAATCTTCGTATCCTCCTGTGGCTGCTTCCCCCTCCTCCACCATCCTGAAAATTAACCAGAAACAGCTCATTTCAGCTTGGGAGCAAGGTTTAGACTTTGGGCAACCCTTCTCACCTTCTCATCTTTTTGAGCAGAAAGGTCAATGCAGTTTTATGCAACAGAGAGCACTGCAGGTAAAATGCTGGTTTCTCCTTGCACAACCTCTCTTTATAACTGGCACCCTCTCCTTCTCCAGGGACACAGAAAGAAACAATTTTCTGGGTAAAAGAAGAGGGCTGGGAGACAGCCTAATATTGTCTAACAGACAACATCAGCTGCTTATGAGAAAAGCACAATATGCAAGGTATGTCCTAGCACCAGAGCCATGACAGAGGCTGGACATACTTGAGATGTGTATCCAGATGGAGCCTCTGCTCCTGAAAGATAATTTCCTATCTCTGCAGTCCTAGAACTGGGGTCTTCAAGCAAAAAAGCTGAAGGAAATCATTCCAAAATGCAAAGGGAAGCACATGCAATTGAAAATATGGATCCTGGGGAACCAGATTTGAAGGGAAAAGACTTCCTGCTTGCAGATGCAAGGAAAGTAATACCATCCCCCTCAAGCGTTTTCTTCTCTGCTGCACCAAATACTGTGGGGCTCCTCAACATGCCAGCAGTTGGAGTAACCAGCCCAAATAATCCCATGCACTAGCCAAAGCAAAACTCCACAGATCCAGAGGTGCAGAGCTGGGAGAGCCTCCCTTGTAGTGAACTTATTGTCCCAGCAGCAAACACCTGTCCAGGTCAAAGTGGGCATGGTTTGCTCGGAGTGCACCAGTGGAATCCTTGGTCTTGTCAGAGATGTGCATTAGGAAATAAAAGCAAGCAAATCAGGATGCAAAGCAGCACGCCATTCTTGTAATATGTATTGCTAAAATGACATAAACACAGATAGATTAGATAGATAGATAGATAGATAGATAGATAGATAGATAGATAGATAATATAGAAAGCACATATTGTAGCATTTCTCCTCCTATGATCTACATAGCCCTGGATAAAATGTCTTTCTTATCCAACTTTTCAGAGGTTCTCACACTGCTCTTGCACAAACTCTGAATGAATGATACCAGAAAATCCGTTTAGGTGCATATGGCCAGGCCTGGATGCCAACTGTATTTAATTACATGCCATGTCCAGATCCCAACTACATCTGCTTCAGATGCTTCATCACACTGACATCACTGTGCAAACATCAAGACTTCTGATTTATCTTTCAAAACCTGAGATGGACTGCAGACTTCTGTAAGATGGTGTGGAGTGGCTTCAGTACCAACTTCAGGCACTAGCCCACCACCAGCTATGAACCACTACTGTAAACATCATGCTACAGGCAGCAGACAAATATTTGCAGCTTCTCATTAGCTCCTAAACAAGTAGGCACAAGCCACATGCCCAGACAAGAGAACCGCTGCCTGACCCCTGCTCCCCTCTTAGCATCAACTCACCTGCCCTGGCCTCTTGCAAGCACAGCTACCTCCTCCTCACCACAGTTCTTCCTGTTCTTCACAGTAGCTTCATCCTTCCTGCTTTCATCGAGCAGTGACAGAGGAGTGGCTCCAGAGGCAGCAGGTCCCAGCCTTGTGTCTTCACAGACCTCACTCCACGCACTGTCTGGCAAAGAAACCAAGGCTGGGGAGACCATTGGTGACACAGGGTGGCTGGATGTTTTGGGGAATGCCTTCCTCTCCACAGATACAGAGTCCAGCAGTGAGTGTTTCTTTCTTCTCTGCTCCTCAGCTTTTTGCAGCCATAAGATCTCCACACCTTGAAATTCTACATGTTTACTCACAGCTGCCTCTTTAGCAAGCCTTCTTTCAGGACCTGTTTGCATTCTGCCTTGACTGTACTCTGAAAACTCCTCAGAATGTGTCCCCCTCTCCACTCTGCTGACTGCTTCCAGGTTTGTCACAGATAGTTTGTGACAGCTTGGTTCCTGAGCTGCGTGGACCTCCTCTGCTTTATTACTTATGGCTTGTGAGGATTTGGACTGCTTTTCTTCAGCCCATATTGAAGCCAGATCCTTCTCTATGATCAAATGCTTTTTTTCCTCAGCTGTTCGTTCAGATGGAAGAAGCATGTCTGAGAGTTTTTCTTGGCCTGCTGGAACTGGTTCTCTGGCTGCCTGCACATTTTGGCTGCCAGTAACATTCTTTTTTTCCATTTGCGTCTCTGAATCGAGAGAAGTATTTGCTCTTTCTTGCACCTTTGTTGCCTCTAGCCGTTGAGAGATTTTCATAATCTCTGGCAGATTACCTGCAGGTTGCAAACCTTCTTCTGGGGTGTGAAGCTGCACAGGCCCTGCATCAGGCCTCAGGTTGTGTGCAGGAGCGGCGCGCTGAGGCGCAGGCCTGACGCGGTGGTGGCTGTCCCGCCGTTCCGGACTGCGCCTTACGGGCTCGGCCTGGCACGTCGGTGGAGCCGCTGCCGCTTGTCTGCTTGACTCTACACTGCCGTACTCTGGAAATTCATTGATGATGGCATGAGGAGGCAAACTGCTGCTTCCGCGGCCACTACCTGCAAGGAAAAAAGAAGGACACCCTGGATTTATCCACCATGAGAACAAAGCAAAAAGCCTGATCTCCCTTCCCAGACCACTCCTAACAGAGCAACCACACTCTCCCCTGCAGGGGAAATACTGTTCAGTTTTTAACTCATTTCTGCAAGTTCTCACACTGCAGTAATCCAGAGCTGATCCTTTTACCTAGGAGCTTTTGGGCAGCCCTACTTTGGGAGTGTGCACTACAGAGGAAGGAATGCCAGAAATGTCTGCTACACTTCAGAAAAGGTCTCAGTAGCACCAGTCTGAGGCGGCAGGCCAGGCGCATAGGCCTAAGAAAGCAGAGATTCAGATGTCTGACATCCATCCACAGCATGCACCACACATGATGGTTTTACTTAAAAAAGACACTACACATGATGGTTTTACTTTAAAAAGACACCACACATGATGGTTTTATTGTGAAGACGAAACATTGGGAAGATATCAGCCACACCCTTTATGTTCTTACAGCCTTGACAAAACTAATTAGCTAAATTACAAAGCAATTAATGAGCAATTCAACTTTCTGCCAGCACTACCCTCTTCCTTTAACAACTCAGGTAGCTGAAGGCCATGTTGCAGTGTTGGATGTATACCAAGTAATTCACATTTTCTACTGCAGTAAATACAATGCTGCAGAAAAACCTTGCTATCCCTCCCTTCCTTGTGCTGCTTTTCCAACTGATGTAAACAAAGCAGGACCAAAAGTGGGTGGTCCCATTTTCCAAGCGCCAAGCACCCAGTGGCTCCCATTGTTGTGAGGTAACAGAGAACCATCTGTCCAGAGGGACCTCAGGGATGACATAATGACAGATAATTGGCCACCTTATATCACAGCCCAAGGAGGAACTGAGCTTCTGGGAGAAAAAAAACCCAAAAACAATAACCAAACACCCAACCATCAACAGCTGCATTTGTCCCTTGACCCGGAGTACAAAAATGTTTTAAATCAAACTGCAGGGTGGCCAGACCCAAACACCTACTCTGAAAATCAGGAGTGACAGCTCTAAAACCAGACACCAACTTGCATTTGAATGATTCAGTCCCAAGGTGCATCTCTATGTGCTGCACTGCAAACTGATCCCCACCTCTGCTCCAAGCAGGATGGCCACAGTCTGTGTCTGAGGCGGAAGCCATGCAGCTGAGGTTAATGATAGGCTGAGTTCAAGGTAAAAGAGAGGATAACCTAACACAAGTTCAGAAGCGCATTAATATGGCTACCTATGTGCCAGTGGCTTGTTAAGGTAAAGAGAAGTTCACACCTGCCAGTATATGCCAGTCTATCTAGCCACAGGGTAAATACCACACACTGGGCGTGGTGTAGGATCAAAGTGACAGTCTTGGACTCTGCCAAGCCTCAGAATCTTTCACAGTGTGTTCTCCAAACGTCTCCATGCCATTGACTTAATCACTATATAATAAAAATTCAGGTTCATCCAGACGGCTTGCTTGCTGTTCAGGACAGTGGCTGGACAAAGCAAGGACCTCTTCTCTGCTGCAATATCCCAGGGAGCTGTAAGGAGCACAGATGCCCTGTCCATAATTGCATCACCAGCCCATCTTCATGGCAAGGTTTCCAACACACAGGTGTGGGTGCACCGACAGTGCTTTTCCTAAGCATCTGAAGCAGCAGACAGTCCCCTTTGCACACAACTCAGCCACACAGTGCTTGTGTGCATCTCAATCAAGCCCATACTTTTCATGGCACAGGCGCTAGATTGCTACTGTGGGACACTTCTACCAGGACAGACTCACATGTGACAGTCATGCTTTGTGGTTACAACATCCCTACACCTGCACCAGAATAACCCCAAGCAAGCAACTCCAAACTGCCTTCTTATTCTGCAACCCTGGTTTTCTCTAATGCAGAAGCTCTTGTGCTTGCTACTCTCTCAGCACAGTCTAGAGGTGGGATTTCTTAGGAGAGGACTGATAGGGAGCCTAGCACTATACATGCTAACATAAATCCTTCTTGGTGGACACATCCACTGACAGCAATGCTCAGCGTGCGCCCTCAGCACTGTGGCACAACACTTGGCCAGGCCACTGTCTGGCCACACTCTCTGGCTGCACTGTTGTGAAGAAAGGCAATGCATAGTGTCCCAAGAGCTGGGACCCCCCGTGCCTCACTCCAACCCATACATCCCGCCTTGTTGGAAGGAAGCCCAGAGCATCAGCCCCGGCCTCCAGTGGGGCTGGGAGGCAGCCAATGTGCTCCGGAGGCCAAGCCCTAACAAGGCACCGCACACAGATCCTGCCAAGGGGCCAGGCTCGTCTCTGCTAATTGCTATCTTAGCTTCTGAACCAACACGAGGGAAACAGAGGGGGCCTTATTTCTCATGGTGAATGCTAAATGCTCTGCTGTGCATCCCCATCTGCCACCGACAGCCACTGCTGACGGTGGAAAGAAGTCCTGAGCAAGTTTCTGATTTACTTCTCCTCCTGAACTTCATACTCTGACAAGTCCATGAGACTCCAGAAGAAGTACATACACAGAGCATATACCCACACATGCGGGCACTGAGAGATGTCCAAGGGAAGGGAGAGAGCTTACACACACTCCCTTCTGCCACGCCTGCAAGCTGTGCTCCATCTGGGCAAGAGAGTAGTGCTGTCACATTAGAGAGGTAAGGTCTTTCCTAAAGTGAGATGTCAGCAGTCCTCCTCTGGACGGATTGCTCCTGCTGCTGCTGCTGCTGTATACAAGAACAAGTCAGTGGGATTCTTGTCTTCATGCAGCAATATTGCCTAATTCTCTGTCTGACTGAAAACATTCATGTATGACATCAAAGCAGTGCTCTGTTGCCATTATGTTAGGACTACCATGCACATGACTGCCAAGGTCTCTATTTCATGAGGTAAACCACAACAAATCCACCCCTCTCTCCCAAAATTGCAAAGCCTTTCCCTTTCCTCAGAGAGCTATTTCAGGTACAGGAGCTTAGGGGAGCTTGAGCTCTTTAAGGGAAACTCCTCCCTTATTCCCATCCACCACCACAGCATCATGTCTTGCTGCAGCTACTGGCATATCCTGTCCAACCCCATCCCCCAATATGACTGCATTACAAACAAGGCTAGAAAGACAACAACAAAATTTAAGGACTGCACTGAAGATGCGCAGGGAAAAAAATACCCATCACCAAACAAACAAAGGACACACACTTTCAGGTAACACAAATTTCTACTTTGCATTGAAGGTGGCTTCTTTCAACAAATTAATAAAAAAATAAAAAGAAAGGAAAAAGAGAAAGAAATGGATAGGGAAAAAGCTAAAATAGAAAGGGGGTGAGTGACTAGAAAACTAAGACTGGGCAAATATAACCTAACAGCATTTGGCAGCCTTTCTGATGACTAGACGTTGAAAGAATTAATGACTTAAATCAGGCATAGATATGATATTTCATAGGTAAATAACCATTCCATGTCAAACAAACTTGTCTACAGCATAATAAAAGGAAATTCTAGGAAGCAAAACACAAGTTAAAAGCATAGACAGACATTTTGTTTACAGGTACATTTTAAAAAAAAGAATGGTGTGAGTGTCTCTCTCTATACAGTATATATATATATATATATTATATAGCTCGAGAAATTAGATATATTTGCTTGAACAGTCTCCTTACTCACAGAGGTTACTGTAGCTCCAGCAGTTACCCATTGGTCAAAGAAATAAAATGCACAGATCATCAGTTTATCTATAGCGATACCAGCTAATTCAATTGCTGCTGTTCTAGTCAACTGGAATCAAAATAAGTTTCAAATTTCCTGGCAGCTGCTGCCCTGCACTGCACACAATGATGTAAATGGATGCTTTCTGAGTATTATGAAACTGATGGGGGAACTGCAGTCTCATTCAGTCTATCGCAGGAGCTAAGGAGTCCACCTTGGCAGCTTGCAGGGGGAAAAAAAAATTTCCTCCAGCAAGGCTGCCTGACGGCATGCCAGGGATACGTCTGTGCTTAGCTGCCGTTTTTGTAACTGCGTCTGTAAGGGGAGAATTGGGTAGAATGGCGATGCTGAGAGTCATGTGCTGGTTTCAGAACACAGGATGCTTTATGGCATTTTAGCACTAGTGAGCTGAAAGTATTCACTAAGTAGCCTAGTCATCCTGCATTTTGTGTTTCTGCAGCTCCTTGTGCCGATCACAAGTAGCACGTGGATGAGCTTGCATGCAGCATTGTATCAGTTACGCTTTCCTGGTATTTCTTGCCACTATTTGTAAAAGGCAGATTAGGGCAAGTAAAAACAATGTATACATTATGATGAAACAAATCTATAGGTGACAGTTTAATGAACAAACCACAGGATTTATGATATCACCAATGCAGCCTGCCAAAGAGGAGGGTTACATGTATGTCCTTGTCCTGCACTGCATCATGTTACAATTTCTATGGTCACTAAAACTATTCAAATTGATAAAGGAGCCTGCTCCTACTGAGATGGAGTGGCCATCCCCTGTAAAAGGGGAGGGATGTTGCACAGCCTCTGGCAGCCTTGTGCAGCAGCCCTTTTTCCAAATGATGTCATTCTCCATGCTGCGATAGGTCCTGCCTGGCCAGCATAGCCAAAGCCAGGGGATTAACGTAACACAAACACGCAGCTTTTGTAACTGGACTGCAAACATCCACGCCAGACTGGGGGCAGGATTTTCTGCAGCTTGCAGACACTCCAGGCTTTTGGGCAGTTTTTGCTTGCACCAAAAAGGAGAAGCAAAGATAGGTCTTCATCCCATCAAAAGTTACAGCAGCATTATGTAAAAACAACTTGGTGGAAATGGGGAAGCTGAGTCAAAGCGAGAGGGAAACTGAGGGAAGAGGTTAGGGAGAGCTGCCTAGAAAAAAATCCAGGTGAAATGCCTCTGTGCCTTAGCAAACATGCAGGGAAGGTAGAGGGGAATAGAAGTATGGCAGGGACCTTGCAGAAAAATTGACCATCTTGGCTGAGATCCCTCACCCCAAAAAGAGAGAGACTCCTA